TTTGGTGGTTTGGTGTACACCCTGTCTATTTGAATCTCGAACAGTGAATCAAGGCATGATACTCCTATATGGTAGGTGTTATATCCTCAGTCAAAAGTAAAGCAACTGTAGATGGGGTTCCATAATTGCACAAGGCTCTAAACAAATTTTGATAAATCGAGATGTCTAGAAGATAGGAAATGTCACCATAGAGGTGATAGAACAACGACTTGTCGACTGTTTCACATCTTCCCCATATCTATTTGAGCTCACTCAAATCATTTTGACGAACATTGATGTGGTTGTAACCAATCAAATTGACACGTATCTAGGCTGTCAGCTATCTCCAATTGTCAATTGGGACTGCTCGGACCATCTCAGAACATCTGCATTATCTTCTACCTATTTTTGGACCTTTCATTCCATATTACTAGCCTTCTATATGGACATCGATCACTAATCAACACCATGGAATGAATAGTGCAATGCAAAAACAAAAAGAAAATAAAAGAAAAAGAAAATTAGCCAGTAATCATAAAGAAATCAATCGGGCATAATATATTTCGTTAATAAAACCTAGCTTCAAATGTTGACCACCCAAACATGCTTTAACAGATCCTACCCAACATGATTTCTACCCCCATGCTTTGTTTATCATAAAAATCCTATCCTTATGCCATCTAGTTCTTATGCTTATTCGGAAAGCAAAATTATACTATAAAAATTTAAAGACTCAAAATAACTATATAAGTGATATTTTGGGTAAAATATCTACCCTAACTCATTTGAATCATCCCTTTTTTTTCCTAAAGCTTGTCGTTTCTCTCAACTCCCCTAACTTATCTATTTCTTCTTTCATTCTCTTCCCTTAAATCAATGGCCACAATGGTCATCGCCCATTAGCAGCTCCGACAAGGAGCCTAAAACATCTTACATCACTCTTGTTTCTTATCGACCCTTAAAACTGGCCAAACCCGACGAGACACTCCTCAAAACTCCCCAAAATAAATCTAAAAGATGTATTACCTTCAACTTAGGGTGGTTTTACTCCGGGAGATGACAACGACGCCCCTTTTCTGACAGGAAAGTAAGATCTTTTCCTTTCAACGTTCTTTTTTCCCTTTTTGGGTAATTGGACGCTCACTCATATAAAAAAAGAGACCTTTTATTTTTTTCGGTTGCTGAAGAGACAAAGATATATTTTTTGGTTTTTGTGTTGCTGATGGAAAATGTGATCTTCCTCTTCATTTTTTGTTGTTTCTTGATGATCCCGGATAAATGATCCTTTTAGGTTTTTGTATTCCTGATTTTTTCTTCTATTTTCATGATATTCTTTGTCCCATTTTGTTTGCATACATCGGGGGGTTCTGCCATGGTCGAAGGAGTGTGGCAGAAGGGAACATACGGTCGTCAGGTGCTTGGGTACAGCAGGAGATGGGTGGAAGCTTGAGAGGTGGCTGGAGCATTGCGCGTGCTCCCCACACGTGAGATCTGACCGGTCGGAAAGTTGGGTGGCCTCTCGTGCACCACACGCACGACTTCGGGGCCTTTAGAGTGTTGAGGGTCGTTAGATCCTTGGGGCTAGATCATCGGAACATCTATTGGATGTATTAGGGTAAATCCATAGTATTTTTAGCATCTTCTAAAATCAGATCCAACGGTTGGGAGATGGTTGTTCATGGATTCCTTAGGGTTTAGAAAACCTTAAACTTTATATCATTCGATCTGAACCATTAGATGAAAGGCCCAAATCTTACGTCTCTCATTGTGCGACGTTGGTGACTCAATAAAAACCCCAATGGGTGTAGGGCTTTCACGAGTGGGCTGCAACATTAGGCCTCTGTTTGGGGTTTCTTGTAATTAATTTAGACTTTCAATTATGACATGTAAAATCATATTTAATATAAGTTAGTATTTTATGTTCGTTCTTTATATATATATATAATATTGATATATTATATATATATATAGTATATATATATACACACACCCCAAATAATATATATAACACAACATAACTAATAATAGTATTATATGTAATCATGATTAATAGCAATAATTATTAATGAGTAACACAGACATAATTAAACACACACATATATAATTTAATTAATAATTATAAAATATAATTATATAAATCCAAACGAAACTCAAATGAAATCCTCGAACAAAATGAACATCTACACTTACCAATACTCTCTCAACAAGTTACCTACCATGGGTCTCACACTCAACTATAAGCACTATATGTGGTCCTCTCTTAACAACTTGGCCCTCTTAACAACGTTTTATACAAATACTAACATTCACTCTACAAAGTTAGCAGTCAAAAGAAATCAGTATTGTTAACAATATTGAGCTTGTGAGAAACTTGGAAAATGTGGACTTTGAAAGTGGTTTGGTAAGCTCATATGCCAATTGAAATCTACCAGGAACATAGATGATACACCGATCCATTTGTCAATGTTTCCTAGCGGAGTGAACATCGAGTTCTACATGTTTAGACCGAGCATGAAAAACATGATTGGCACTCATCATCACCGCACTTATGCTATCGCTTCATACAACGGGAGTTGAAGTCGACTCAACTCCCATGTAACCAAGAAGTGCTTTAACCACATGATTTCAGCCACATCATTTGTAATCCCCCAATATTCATCTTCTGTAGTCGAGCAAGATATATTGTTATTTCTTTGAACTCCAAGAAACAAGATTATCCTCAATGTAGACACAATAGCCCAAAACAAACCTCTGATCATCGAAATTATTTGCCAAATCAGCATTTGAAAAGGCACGTATATGAAGATCCTCACTTGAAGCATGAAATAGTAACCCATAATCTATCGTACCACTCAGATAACGTAAAATACATTGAACCACTAACCAATGCAACTCACAGGGTTGATGCATGTATTGTGCAACACACCCAACGCTAAAAGAAATATCATGTTGAGTATGATTGAGATATAATAGTCCACGAATCACACTCAGATATAACTAAGGATCATCAAGAGATTTACCACCATCCTGAGATAACATTGGAGAGGGCAAGATTGGTGCTGGAGTAGAATGCGCTTCACCCATATCCGCACGTTCCAACAACTCATGAATATACTTACACTAACTCAAAAACAGGGTATCATCACTACAATCAACTTCAATCCCAAGGAAAAAGCTCAAATCGCCAAGATCTTTCAACAAAAATTATTTGCCAAATATCTGAACCGTATCTTTGACAAAATCATCACTATCACCAGTGATGACAATGTCATCAGCATAAACAAGAACATTGACACATATGGTATCATCTCGTTTAATAAAGAGGGATACATCGGCTTGAGTACCAACAAACCCATTGTAAAGTAAAAAATTTGTGAAGCTTCTCATACCAATTTTGAGGTGCCTTTTTTAGCCTATAAAGAGCCTTTTGTAATTCACACACAATATATTCACCTTTGTCGGATTCTTGTTCAAACTCAGGTGATTGAACCCTAAAAAACTCATCTACTAAGTCACTGTTAAGAAAGGCATTGTTGACATCTACTTGTCGAAGCTTCCAATTATTTTTTACTGCTAAAGCTAGTATGACATGAATTGTTGATAGCTTCACAATCGGACTAAATGTATCTTGAAAATCATGAGCTGGAATTTGAGCAAAACCTTTTGCCACCAATCTCCGAACTGCTGTCTTCCACCGCATGGAATGCACGCGGTTTAAAATGTCTCACTTGCCTCTAGTTACCATAGGGTGATTATTAAAGACACCACGCATCAGGGTCGAGGAACGCACCTGAGATCCTTCACGATCCCATGTATCGCCATTATTTTATCTAAGTGAATCACTGCCCTCAACATAAGAATATTCAACACACGAATTGAGTACATCACAGACCCATTCTCCATTTGACTTGGACTAGCACCACCAAATTCATGTTCAATCTCTCATGATCACACGAAGGAACAAGGTCCAACGTTCTCATGCAGAGTCAGCATGCGAACCATTTTCATGCAACTACCCAGAAAGTAATGGTGCAGCCACTGCCCCCTAGTCAGCCATTACTTCATCCAACGTGCCCATGCATAAAGGTGCCACTCTCACGCACCTGCTCAATTGGGACACAATCATGCACAATTCCAGTCTCTTCAGTTACGTTATTCACATCACCAGAGCATGAAAGATCCAAGTCAACATGTACGTTATCATGAGGAGCAAAATTATCATCACACAAGTAACTATCGAAGCAGCTCCACAGCTCCGGGCACCACAAAAATGTCCGTAAAAAAATACGTAGAAGCGATAGAATGAGAATCCACAGTGCCATCCATTGAAAACGGAAGACAACATCATCAAACACCACGTGACGGGATAGGTAAACGCGACCATTCTTCGCCAAACAAAAATATCCCTTGTGTTCGAAACTCTAACCAAGAAAAGTGCACAACTCCGAACGAAAATTAAACTTATGTGAGTGATACGGACGTAAACATGGATAACAACCACAACCAAATACACGTAAATGATCATATGAAGGTAGTTTTCCAAATAATTTTTCATATGGCGACATACCTTGGAGAACTTTAGTTGGGAGTCGATTGATCAAATGAACCGCCGAGACAACCGCATAAGACCAAAACTTCAACGGAAACAAAGCTTGAGCTAACAAGGTGGGGAGCCATCAATTACATGTCGATGTTTACGCTCAACAACCCATTTTGTTGTAACGTATACAACAAGTGACTCAATGAACAACACCACTATCTTGAAGATTTTTTTACAACCTCCGATACTCTTCACCCCAATAATTTGAATGGCTTTAATTACAACATTAAATTGAACATGCATTATTCTTTGGAAATGAAGAAAGGCATTCAACGCTTGCGATTTATGACGCAACAAATACACCCATATATGACGAGTGTAAGCATCCACAAATGACACAATATTTGAAGGCATTTGATGACACATGTAGTGGGCTCCAAAGATCTGTACACACTAATTGAAATAAAGTGAAATATTGAGATTGAGACTCTCTAAAAGGTAAGCAATGATTCTTTCCCATTTGACAAGCAACACATAACATTTTATTCATCTCATCTCGAAGAGCAATATTACACTCCTTACTCACCTTCATCGGCACATCATGAGAAGGGTACCTTAAGTCTATAAAAAACATCACAAACAATACTAGATGCATTGGCCAAACTAGCGTGAAAATCCTCCAAACATCAAAAGAGACTAAATTTGAGCTGAGATCATATATACCATCATCTTCACGGCCCTCAAACAAAACAGCCCCATAATCTTCATCACGAACCACACACTTCTGAACATGAAATTCCAAGAAAACACCATTGTCTCTAACAAGCTTAGACACCGAAAGAAGATTCTTAGTAATATTCCAAACATGAAGTAAATAATTTAATTGCAAAGCACGTGACGTAGTGACTAATGAAGATTGACCAACATGTTTAATAAATAAGCCTTTACCATCACCCACAACAAGCTTACCGGCCCCATGAAAATTCGCAGCAGCTTCAACAAGAGTAGTGTGAGCACCATATTTGAATTAAAAAACATCCACTCACTCATGCCCCACGTGAAGCACTAACCCACCATGCCCATGCCTTCACCTTGGCCAAAGAGCTGCCCATACCTTGTTCCCAATGCTGTGCATTTACCCATGCTTATGTTGGTCAATCACTACCAGCAGTCCCATACCGCGATCATGCCGATGCTGTCCCACGAGCACACACCAAGCAGCTCGGTTCCCCATCCACATCTACCAACAAGCAATTATTTTATTATCTTTACATATGTAATGGATATAAAATCCAATGAAACCAACAGTGGGGGGCAAGCAGAAAACAAGAACAGAAAAGGGAAAATAATTGTAACGGGGGGTTCGAAATCCTTACAAAAATACGCTGTAAACTCATCTTCAAGGAATAAGAGATTCCAAAGATAACGAAAAATAAATAGAGAGAAGTCTGGAAATTACCTAGCCGAGGAGTCGACTGCCGGAGTTGAAGCCATCGGGGTGGAGAGACTCGAGCGATAGAGGGTAGCGGTGGCCGTTTGGCTTCGGTCGGGGTCCTTGCATGTAGCCGTAGTGTTTTGGGGTTCCATAACAGTGAAGATAGGAGAGTTTAGGGTCGGGTTAGGCTCATTTTTTGGGTTAGCTCGCCATCGTTAGTGGCGAATGGAGTTCTCGGTCCTGAGTTTTCACTGCGGTTTGGTCGGTTTTAGGGTCTCGATCGAGAGTGGAAAGAAAGGGTAACACATATAGGGCCTTTACAGTGAAGTTATTGGTCATCTAGGATTGTTGGCGGTCGGTCGGAGGCGATCGGAGTAAAAATGGCCACCAATTTACGGCGGCCAGCTTTGGGTCAGAAGGGTTTTTGAAGGTGGTCGTCGTAGAGAGTGAAGGGTATGGAGAGTGGCTGTAAGGATAAAGATGGAAAATGAGTTTAGGGTTAACTTTGAACATAAAATCATAGATATATATATATATGATTGCTTGAAATGATGCCGTATGGGTGTTTAGGGGTTCCTGATTCGCGTGTGGGATATTCATTTTAGGAGCCATTAAATTTTCTATTATCTTATATTTCAGTCTTAATTTAATCTTCCGTGTTTTTTAAATTTTTTTAGTTTATGATCTTTCAATTTTAGTCCTGAAATCTAGTCTTATTTGTTTTTTTATTTGGTCTTTGTATCTTTGCTTATCATATTTTAGTCCTCGAATAGGATCTTTTCTGTTTTTATTTGGTTCTCATATTTTTCACGCATTTTATTTTAGTCCCAAATCTATATTTTCTTCAATTATGTTTGTTTTCAAATGTGCCCTATAATTTGTTTTTTTGTCAATTTAGTCACTTAGTAGACTTATTTTTTCCAATGGGTAACTTATGTTTTGCATGTCTGATTCTGGTTCTCTATTTTTTAGTCCCTAGTTGAGGTGTAATGTATTATATTTGGCTTGTAAAATTTGTAGCATGTATTTTAAGTGATGCATATGTTTTATATTTTATTATTTAAAATTTAGGTGAATGTACAATTTTATGTTTTTTAACTTAAGTACTTTAATTTCTTTATTTACAGTTGTAATGTTTATTTTGTATTTATTATTTAATCTTTATTATTTAAAACCTTAATTTTTTTAATGTTCATTTTAGTAATTATATTTTGTTTGCTTATTTAACGTAATATTTATGCTTAAAAGTATGCACTTGTTAATTTAGTCCAATTTTATTTCCAGCATTGAATATCATTTAATTTTTATCTTTACTTTAGTTTCCATTTATTTGTTCCCAATTAGTATTTTTTTTAATTTTAGCTTTTTCCATGTAAATTTGTTTGTACGTTTAGTTCTAAACATTTCGAATATATTTGAAAGCCTCATTAGCATAACCCAGCTGATTACATAATTGTATTAAGGGCAATGTTTATTTATTTTAAAATATTAAGAAGGGACAGTCTTAAGATAACTAGATGTCTTTTTCCTGATATTTTAAAATAAACAAATATCCCATTACAAAAACCTTTAAAATTTTATTGTATTTAAAATTAATTAATTTTGAGGAGAAAAGGAAATATTCACTATTTTAAACTTATCGAGACAATTCGTCTAAGTTTATTAGGGATTAAGGCTCGGTATTTTTAAATAATTGAATATCCCTTATCTTTTCTAATAATATAATTCAGATTAATGGGTTTATTTTCTTTTTTTTTGAAAGAAATAAAATTTTTAATATTAAGTTCTTAGGAAAAATTATTATATTCCTTTTATTTCAGTTGGAAAGAGAAATATTTGTCCTAAAGTATTTTAGGGAGTATTTTCTCTTCAATTGGAAATATGATAATATTTTCTATTTTTCCTTAGAATTTTTTGTTCTATAATAATGTATGGTTGAATTCAGAATAATAGAATCGTAACTTAAATATTTATTTGAATTCTTAGATTTCTACTATTTCGAGACAATATATAATCGATAGGTACCAATTTTGGGCTTTGTGGGGGTACTTATCCTTCCTCACACGTAACCGACCCCTGAACCCTTTTTATTATTAAAAAAAAATTTTTGGTTACACGTAGACTGGTAAATCTTTTAAAACGATGTTTTCTTAAAAATCTTTTAAAAGAAAATTTTAAGGTATTCGACCTACCAAATTCAAAAGGTCGATGGCGACTCCAAAATATTCTAAAATCCTTTTCAAAGAAAACCCTAAGTTGTACTAAATTTTTCTCCGCCCCTTGGTGAAAATCGGTTACGACAGCTTGGCGACTCCGCTGGGGACGCTAGAAGGTCAAGCCTTAAATCGATTATATATTATCTCTATAGTTAAAAATTGAGAATTCGGTTTTATTTAATTTATGATTCCTTTAATTCCTTTCAATCATTATTTTATATTTTTGTATACTAATGTGTGCATTTGATTGATTTTCATATATTAAAGTCTTGGATTCTCTTTAGTTCATTTTTGTGTGGTTGTTTTTCAAAGGTTTGAGAATTTCTCTTCACACACAATACTTGCATTGCATAACATAAGCTCTATACCCAAGCTTTTCCTTTTAAGTGGGAGTGAAAGCGACGTCTTCGTGAGAATTTATTCTCCATGTCAGACCTAGCAACTAGCTTCCGGGGTTCATATGCTTATGTCTTCATAAGGATTATTCTCCGTGTCAGACATAGGGAAATGTGCCCCCTCGAATTAAACTTGATCCGCTTAAGCTTATAATGGGTGAGGATTGAAGGTCTGGCTCGCCCAAGGGGGCACCGACAAGGACAATTCGAGTACCTTTTTTTCTCATAGAGCCGAAACCATGCATATAGTGAATCGTAGAACGGTCACCCTAGGTGTAGACATATCGAACCTCTGTCCGTCATTAGGTACCCAAACCAAGGTATACACAAAGGAGAAATGTTTCTGAACCTTTTCTTTTTGCTTTAAATTCGGAGAATATTTTTTTTTATTTTCGAATAAAAACATGCGAACTAGATACCATGCGGTTAGGATTATTTTTTTTGAAAAAATTATTGTGGGTAAAAGCATGTCCGGGTAGGAATGTTATTTAATTAAAGCATGTTCGGGTAGATATCATGATGGGGTAGGTGTTTATTCATCTTTGAATGACATTGTTATCTGTATCAATTGTCTTATATATAACTAATTTATTTTCTTTTGTTGTATACACTAACCTATTTCTTTTATTTGTATCATTTTTCATCTTCATTTGCATTGCATTGCATCAACATAAAATATGCAAAAGTGTTGATTCACAAGGGGATACTCAAGTGGAAAGTTTGCACAAGAAAGATACAAATTTTCAATAAAGCAGCAACATACACAGACATGCGCCGAGGGATAGGAGAAGTCCAAAATTCCAGAATGAGACTTGTTCAAAGGTCGTGCAACATTTGAGATTGGAAAGTTGATCCTTTGATTCAAGAAGTAATCTAGCCATATATTCTTATCTACGATCATCTCATAACTAGCCTTGAAGGAGCGACGCACTAACTTCAACATCGCTGAGGCATTAAAGAAGTTAGTTTACAGAGCATTGAGGGGCATCAATTCCAAAGACGAAAATCCAAGACAAAGCAATAATCCAGTAATAGATTCTAGTCTGTGATCATTTCATCGTTAAATATCAAGGAGTAATGCACTTCAACACCGCTGGGGCATTAATAGAGTTAGCACTTGAGGGGCATCATTTTCAAGGACGAAGATCCAAGATAAAGCAGTGATCAACTTCATACTCAGCCATCTAAGAGGATGCATGTCTGCAAAGTAGACGGTCTTATAATGTGGAAGCTTTTATCACTGGTGAAAATTATTTTACGATATCCGTCGATGGAATCAACATTTTTGCATTTGCATTTAGCATTTGCATTTGCATGTATTTATTTAAGCATTTTACATGCATTAATTATGAAAACATGGAAATAACTTATGGGAGGTTTTGTGATAGTAATAACAAGATCATTCATACTATTCCTTATCATATGAATAACAAATAGAAGCAATAGAGCAATCTAATGAGAAATCACAAGATCAGTTACAAGAGCAGTTGGTCGGGTTACAACTAGATACGAGGAATCAATCATCGGGTTATCTGCAAGACACATCGAATCAAGTGATCCAGGTGCTGGCACCGCAGGCCATTGATAGAGAGGAAATGAATGATAAAGGAAATCAATGTCATCATACTAATGCATCAAGAGTGATAATTTGCCCCAGAGCATCTAACTCAAACTAGGGGAAGAGCCTCGTCAATTATGAGCAATTTGAAATCGAATTTAAGTGGTTGAATGAAGCCGTTAAAAATATGAATGTTGTTAATGCCACTCACAAGGAATTAGAAGCCAGAGAACTCAGTTTGGTCTCTGATTTGGTCATCTCACATGAATTTAGAGTGCCTAATTTTGAGAAATATGATGGCACCAGTTGCCCCCTAATTCATCTGAAAATGTTTTACAAAAAGATGGAAGGGTACTCAGATGATGATAATCTGTTGATTCATTACTTCCATGATAGTTTTGCTGGGCCAGGTGTAGTATGATACAATTGTTTGAACAAAGAGCAAATCAAGACATGGATCAACCTAGCTGATTTTTTTCTGGGGCAATATCAATATGTTAAAGAGTTAGCCCCAAAACGTCATCACCTTCAAAAGATAAGGATGAAAGCTACTGAGAGCTTTAAAGAACATGCCCTAAGATAGAGAGGAGTGGCAGCACAAGTTCAACCTCCTTTGGTAAAAGAGGAAATATCACATATGTTTCACGATTCTCTTCCGGCTCCTTTCTTTGAGTTAATGTTGGGAAATTCGATGAATGACTTCAAGGATCTTATGATAGCTGGGGAGTTAATTGAAGATGCAATCAGCAAAGAAAGCTTGAAAGTCACTTCGAAAATCCCAAGAAATCAAGAGCGAAGAGCTGATGAGGTGAATGAATGTCACGTCCAGAGCTCCCACAGCCATAAAAGAAAAGGGGTTGTTGGTTGCTCAAATTGTCCAAAGAAGATCCCACGATCGAAAGATACTTTGAAGGTGTTCCAAATTCCTATCTCAGATTTGTACCCACATTTGATTAAATGTCAACACATTAAACCGAAGTCAATAAATTGCCACCAAACCCTTCTGCCCATAATTACGATCCAGATAGTGTCTATGATTTTCACTTAGGGGCATTGGGGCATACTACGAGGAATTGTAGGAAGTTGTTCAAAGAGATAGAGAGGCTGGTTGAAAATGGGATGTTGACACAAGAAATGATGGAACAATGGATGACGAGCTAGAGTGGGGCATCAGAGCGCAACGTATAATTCCCGATCGAGTCAAACGCCACTGCATCGAAGAATAATGGGGGCATCCTGACTATGCAGAAATCATTTCATCCATCATGAAACTTTATGTCAATTGCAGAATCTTGTTTGGAACT